CTTCTCCCTCTTCCTGTGGTGCACGTTAAACTTTAATGTGCTGTTACTCAAGACTTTTTAATCTTGAATTCTCCTTTGTCAACTTCTCTCTCTTCCTGTGGTGCACGTTAAACTTTAACGTGCTGTTACTCAAGATTTTTTAATCCTGAATTCTCCTTTGTCAACTTCTCTCTCTTCCTGTGGTGCACGTTAAACTTTAACGTGCTGTTACTCAAGATTTTTTAATCTTGAATTCTCCTTAGTCAACTTCTCCCTCTTCCTGTGGTGCATGTTAAACTTGAACGTGCTGTTACTCAAGACTTTTTAATCCTGAATTCTCCTTTGTCAACTTCTCCCTCTTCCTGTGGTGCACATTAAACTTTAACGTGCTGTTACTCAAGACTTTTTAATCCTAAATTCTCCTTTGTCAACTTCTCCCTCTTCCTGTGGTGCACGTTAAACTGCTATTGTAACACTTATAAGAATGTTGTTAACGTAATATTTAATTAATTACATGCATCAACGGATTTCTTGGTTGTTTCATTTTCTTTTTTTTTCTTTAATTATAATTTGTTTTGTGCATCAAACAAACACTACAAGTGCTTGTCGGTGTTTTAAAAAATTAAATAACATAGTATTGTATTTTGAACTAATAGTTATTGTATGGGACGCATTATAGCGAGCTATATCTGTTGTCTGATGCACCCCATTCACAACCCCCTCCCCTCTACTACTTTTATCATTCCCGATGGAAAAGAGGGGTCGTCGGAATGAATGCACTTTCACGTCTCATCCCCCTCCAAAACCCCTTCATGTTGATGTTTGTCAAAGCACTTTAGGGCCGCTAATGGCTTTTATTTGAACCGTCGGCGGCCTTTTGATCTATTTCGTTAGGGTTGGAGGAGTGACAGGCGACGGAGAAATTCTCCACACGAGTCTTCGATTGAATAATAATCGAGAAATTAATCTTTAGGAGAAATTTTCGAAAATTATTTATACATTTCTGAGAAAGGTACGTTATTTTGCGTCAGTCATTCGATTATGATTGAGTAATAAATTCCACAATCAAAAATTGCTTTTTACAATTTGTTTTGGAACGACACTTATATGATTAAGGTTTTTATAATCATTTGCTTTTCATTCGTTGTTTACATCAGGAGTACCGGAAACGTTACGTACTTTTACAACGCTATGTACGTTTATTACAACTGTATGATTAATGTGTTTATAGATAATTGTTTGCATCACATTCGTTGTTTACATCAGGAGTACCGGAAACGTTATGTACTTTTACTGCAACTATATGATTAATATGTTTATAGATAATTATTTACATCACATTCGTTGCTTACATCAGCAGCATCGGCAACGTTATGTACTTTTACTACAATTATATGATTAAGGTTTTTATAGATAATTATTTGCATTCCATTCGTTGTTTACATCAAAAGTACCGGCAGCAGTATGTACTTTTACAACTTTATGTACTTCTACTACAACTATATGATTAATGTGTTTATAGATAATTTTTTGCTCTCCATTCATTCACAGCAGGAGTACCGACAACGTTATGTACTTTTAATAATAACGCGTACACAATAGGTTA